ATGATACACTGAGTTTAATCAAAATCGTTAGAGCCATTTTTGAGAAAATTTTAAAAATGTGTTTCAACGTTCATATAAAGTGGCACTTCCAGTTAGCCGATTTTAACGAAAAAGTTACTGTCACATCCGGCCCATATACAAACCTTAAATACTTAATATCAGTTTCGTACTACTTTTTGTTTATGAGCTAGACTGTTAACACATACACTCAGACACACACACACACAGAGACCATTTTGCGACACTTGTTTATTTGGACTCAGGGGACCTCAAAACACGTATTTCCGTTGAAAACTGAGATTAGAAAATTTTCACGATCGCAATACGAATATGAAAGTAAAAATATAATTATCTTTGTAAAAGTAATTCAAGAGTAATTAATTTAACAAAATTTTTTATTATTATCTAATAAATTATTTTTTATTAGGCGCTACAACTCGGTGACGGGTCTTGGCCTCCTCCACCAGCTTCCTCCAGTCATTTCTGTTCTGTGCGGCCATCATCCAGCTCCTGACTCCCAGGACATCCCTTGAATCTCTTGCCACCCCGTCTAACCATCTTAGTTTTGGTCTCCCTGTTTTTCTTGTGCCGTAGAGAGGTTCTGTCAGAATCATCCTAGGGATTGCTTCATTCTTCATCCTTGCCACATGACCAGCCCATCTCAGTCTTCCAAGCTTCATCCTCAGAACGACATCCTGATCATTAAAAGTTGAGCAAATCTCGTCATTTGTCCGTCTTCTCCAATTTCCATCAATCTGCACTCCTCCAAATATTCTTCAAAGAATTTTCCTCTCAAAGATTAGAAGATCCTGCTCAATTTTTTTAGTCGTCGTCCATGTTTCTGAAGCATAAAGCAGGACTGGGCGGATTAGTGTTTTATAAAAATGTAGCTTGTTATGTCGGGATAAAAGGCGAGAGGTGAATTCCTTGCGAAGGGCAAAGTAACATTGGTTAGCCATAAATATTCTTTTTTTGACGTCGACCTCGGGTGCATTATCTTGTGTTACCAGTGACCCCAAATACTTAAACTGCGCTACTTTCTCAAAGTTGCAGAGTCCAATATTTATGGTCTCACCTGGTCAAGGAACTTCTCCCGTGTTCATATATTTAGTTTTGCCTTCATTCACTTCTAACCCAAGTGCTCTGGCGGCCTCCAACAAAGCTAAAAATCCCTCTCTGACAGATTGCAATGACCGCCCCACGATGTCCACATCATCCACATAGGCTAATAGCTGAACCATCCGGTTGTAAATTGTCCCATTAGTTTGCAGACCAGAATCCCTGACTGCCTTCTCAAGTGCCAAGTTAAACAGAAGGCATGCTAACGCATCACCTTGACGAAGTCCTTTTGTTGAGGAGAACTCTTCTGTCCTTTGACCACCAACCTGCACAGTACACTTTACATCCCTCATGGTCAACTTCACCAGTCGTATTAGCTTATCTGGGATATTGAAACTTTCTAGTGCCTCGTACAGTTCTTCCTGGTTAATGCTATCGTAAGCTGCCTTAAAGTCAACAAAAAGATGGTGGGTTGTAATCTGATGCTCGTTTCCTCTCTCTAGGATTGTTCTGAGGCAAAATATTTGGTCTGTCGTAGATCTTGCCTGTCTAAATCTGCATTGGTAGGGACCAAGCCTCTGGTTTGCAAAGCGTAGAAGACGCTGGAATAGGATATTAGATAAAATTTTATATCCAGAAGAGAGAAGAGAGATACCCCTGTAATTTTTACACTGGAGTTTGTCACCTTTTTTAAAGATAGGGCATATAACTGACTTTTTCCAGTCTTCCGGCAAAACCTCTTCCTCCCAAATGGTCAAGACTAAATTCTGAAACCTTTTAAACAGTTTCTCACCTCTGTTCTTGAAGAGTTCAGCAGGCAGGTCATCGGCTCCAGGTGCCTTATTATTCTTTAACCGATTAATGGCATCCATTATTTCTTCATCATCAGGTGGTTCAAGGTCTGATCCCTGGTTCCTGACATCCAGGAGCAAGCCCTCTCTTGTATATCTGATCCACAGGTGGCTGAATTGAGAAGCTCATCAAAATGGCTTTTCCATTGCAATAGGACCTCATCCTTTCAGGCCACTATATTCCCATCCTTGTCTCTACAAGTTTTAGATACTTTTATTTCAAGTCTTCTCTTCCTATTGATGATCTTGAAAAGGTCCCTGGATTTTTTCTCCTTCCAGTACTTTTCGGCCCTCTCCAATTCATCCTTCCCTCTCTGTCTTTTCTTTCTTTGATGAAGTCATTTTTCCTCTCTCCTCCTCTTTTGATATTCCTCGACTGCTCTTCGAGTCCTTTTTATTAACATATTTTTGTATGCTACATTCTTTGTATTAGTGACTGCCTCACATTCCATGTCAAACCATGGTGTCCTCACCTCCTTTTCTCTCAGTCCCAGTACACTACTAGCAATTTCCTGCATTGCGGTCACACAGCTGGACCAGAGGGATTCTACGTTTCTGTATTTACAGCCTGAGCACGGAGGTTCTCATCTAGTTGCTCATTATAGTACAGCTGTTTGGCATCAGGTTCCCGTAGCTTTCCAAGATTGTAGTGCTTAGATTTTACAGCTGGGCCTCCAAATCTTTTGAAGGAGATCCTAGCAGTAATGTGGACAATGCACAAAAAGTGGTCGGAATCCACATTGGCGCTTCAAAATGTTCTCACGTTTTGGAGGCTGGACTTGTGCCTTTTATCGACAAGGATATGATCTATTTGATTAACGTGTTCCCTATCTGGTGTTGTCCAGGTGCCTTTATGAATATCCTTGTGTGCGAAAAAGGTACTTCCGATGATCATGTCCCTGGAGGCAGCAAAATTAATAAGCCTTGTTCCATTGTCATTCTTTAATTGTCATTAGATTGATCATGGAGACTATGTTTGCCTATGGTTGGGATGTATACCTCCTCTTTTCCTATTTTCGCATTACAGTCTCCAGCAATTATTTTCATGTCATACCTTGGACACTGATCAAGGGTTCGTTTGAGCTGTTCATGAAAGGCGTCCTTATCTTTCTCACTCGAAGTTTCTGTCGGAGTGTACACACTAATAATACTATAATTATAAAACTTTCCATGAACCCTTAGCACACAGATACGCGGGTTCACAGGCTTAAATTCAATGACCAGTTGCCTATATTGCCCTCCAACAACAAATCCTACTCCATATTCATGGAAGGTATCGCTGCAAATATAGTATATGATGTGTCGTCTATTTTCAAGAGTATCCTGGCCGATCTATCTGATCTCCTGGATGGCAACTATGTCCAGTTTGAAACGGTCAATTTGATCAAGGAGCAGTTTCAGTGCTCCGGGTCTATAGAGTGAAAGAATGTTCCGGTATCCGAGATTAAAAGTCCTATAGGGATTGCTGGGTTGTTTCCGTTTGTGACAATCGATATCCAAGGCTGATTTTGGTTTCGGCGAAATATGAACTTCAGGTAGGGGGGCTTCTAACCCTCACTCCGTACCCTAGTATACTGGTGGGACTGCCACCTTTTTGCTTGTATACCTGCACCCCCGTCCGGGGAGGCTACCTAGGGGAGATGACCCTAGGGTGTGTAATGTATGTGACCTTAGTATAAAGTGTGGAGGTGAGGGTAGTGTGCTGTAATTAGTGTTGATGTGTGAGTGTCAGTGTACTGTTCCCCCAACCTGGAAGGCCAGTGGCTATGTGCGATCCTATGACCGGGTGATGGGGCCGCCACCTCCCTACGCCAGATAAACAAAAATTAATATTGCAAATATTTTAATTAACTTGCTCTCACCTTGAGAAAATTTTAATTTTGGTGGTATAAAAATAGACAAAGACATTATTCATTTAATAGCTGATTTGAAAAAAATTGTATGCAGGTATTGACTCATCAGAATGCCATATAAAAACGGAAGAATTATATATGCAACATCATTAACAATTTTCATACAAATGTGAAGAGAAGCCACAAAATATCACTATTAAATAAGAAAATTAATGATGATTTGAAGAACCTAAAAACTTTCTTAGATAATAATAGAGAAATTATATCTAATTCAGACAAAACAAAGCAATTAACAATAATGTATAGAAATGATTACACTGAAAAAATAGAGCAGTTATTAGATAATAAGAATGTTTACTGAAAAGTTAGAAATAACCCGGGTATTGATCTAGCCAAAAAAATTAATATCTATGTTGAAAAGTTACAAAAATTAGGTTGCCTAAAAATACATTTTATTTATAAAAATAAAAAAAATTAAAATAATGATTTTTCATGCAAGGTAGTTATGAAATTGGTTTTTCTCCCAGATTTCTGTAATAGGAATTGATGTGTGACAAACTTAATGTTTCTAGCCCTAATATTTAAATGTAAAATTAAGAAACTACAAAAAATTAAATTTGTCACTGATAAATATGCATCAATTCCTATGACAGAAATCTAGGAGAAAACACAATTACATAACAACCGTTCATGAAAAATATTTGAAAAATCAATTTTGATTTTTTTATTTTTATAAATAAAATGTGTTTTTAGGCTATTATGTTTATTACAATACATCCCATTTTGGAATGCATACATGGAAACCATACATTTTGGAATGCAATAGCTTTAAACTTAATGTCTTTTTCAATTAATCCAAAAATTATTGATGAGTGTAAAGATAAAAATTATTTTGGTTAAGTCATGCATCTATAAAATCATTTTTGTCAGAAAATATACCTTCTCTGCAAGGAACATGTCCATTGGGCCCATGGCTGTCCATAGTGGAGAGGTATCATTGTATACATTTTTTATTGTTTACTATAAAATATATAATAGAAAAGGTTTGATAAATCTTTTAGTGTATTATATGTATTAATATTGATCCAAAAGGAAATTTATTAATTAGTTCATATGTTTAAAGTAAACTTTCCTATTTCAAATATCTTTTTTCTACTAAAGAATGTTTGCTAATACTTATTTAATTAACTCAATTATTTCTTTTGCTTAGTTTTCATTATATTAATTTTTTTTTCAGTATTTATCGAAATGGATAATTTAGTTCAGGAAAAAATTATGCACAACATAATATCAACTATTGAAGAGAAAGTCGATGATGAACTTTATAAACTTGACCAGTTGGATGGTACTTCCCTTGAAAAACTAAGAGAACAAAGATTAAATGAAATGAAACATGAAGCTCAGTTGCGTAATGATTGGATATCTAAGGTGAAAGCTTGGTATACAGTTAATGTTTTTACCTTATTGTAAGTTATTAAGTAACTAATTTTGTTTTAAGTTTGAAATGTTTGAGTTTAATGCCTCTTTATACTCAAACTAATATTGGATAAATAGTTTTCCTCCAGGTTACTTTTCCATCATCGGAAGGATTTTTTTATAAGTACCTCATCTCAGTTGTGATTGGCTCTTACTTTTTAATGAAATACTAGAATGAATTCGAAGTAAATTTCTTACTTTTCCATGAATCTACTGCCAATGTTAGTGGTATTTAGTTTCTCTTTTTATTTTCTTTGATTGCACCATTTGTGGGCATACTTTATATCACACTGTAGTATAATAGCTATTGATAATTTTTCATAAATTACTCTTTCATATTCACATTGTTTACAGTGGTATACTTAAAGGTTAATTATCTTGAACAGTTTTTGAACAATTCCTTCTTATGCAATGAAAGTATGACTACCTTAAGAAAAACACAAAATTTGTCTTAACTGCTTTCCCATTTGGAATCGGCCAATATATCACATGAAATTTTTGTTGGAAATTTTGTCTAGAATCATCCCCCAGAGTTTAATCATTAAGAACTGAACAAATTTGAATAATTTACATGATATAATTCACCTTTTAACATTTCTGCCTATCCAATTTAGTAATTATCAAAAAATTCTGTATGTAAAATATAGTATAATCAGTATTTACAAATCTAATTGACTTACATGATGCCTCTGAGACTTGAGTGATCTCCAAAGCTTCGGAAAAAAGGCTACTCGCATGGGAGAGAAGGGTTTTACGCTGGATCTATGATCTGGTGTGCGATGCGAACATTGACAATGGAGAAAAGACAATAATAAAAAGATGTATGTGAGGCCGAATTTGGTCTCAATTGTGAGAGGAAACCAGATCAGATGGTTGGGCCATGTGGCACGTATGCCCTGAGGCTGGATCAGGTAGAGGACAGCCCGAAAAGGATGGGAATTCGAAGATGGAGAATGCTCGCTCGGGATAGAGGAGAGTGGTGAAGGATCTTATGAGAGGAGGCCCAGGTTCTTACAGGACCGTAGCGCCAAGAATAAATAAATAAATTGACTTACATTATAAAATTCCTAGTATAAGGTTTTTGCCTTTCTATTTTAGCCGTTATCAGACAGATACTACATATTAACATTGACAAATGAATATATATATGAGAACTGTTGTAGTTGATAAAGATATTACAGCAAATGTCTTGTCTTGCAGAACTGCCGCTCTTTCTAATACTTGTGAAGTGAGAAAATGTATTTCCTCTGCACTAAATATATAACAAGTCACCCAGAGATAATTATTAAACAATAACATTATTATTGAAACATTTCCGTAATCTCTTTTACCCTCTTCTATTACTACCACTATCTTTATGAATCATGTTAAAAAAATAATGTAATTTTCAGATTTTAGCCTACCTCCAGATATTTGGTAAATAATTTGAACCAAGAAATTCCATTTCACTATATTTTATATTTTAGATGTGTAATAATAACAACGTAATAACATTTTCTATCACTTAAATATAAGTTGTAGTGAGTGTAAGGAGAGTTTAGGGAATAAGAAAGGTACTTTTATCTCTACCAACTGTTCTCACATTGAAAAAGGGAGATTGAAAGGAATGGGACTCTGATTTCAGGCAGTAAGGGATGGGTAAGTGTAAGGAACATCTATGCATACCACCCCTTAAGATATTGGTCATTCCTTAATGTTAGCGGCCACATTTCGCATATATAAAAACCATAGTTAGCACAATGGTTTTATAAATTATGATTTATAAGTTTCAGGATAGGAAGTGCGAGCTGAGTAGTTTTCTTCTTTCCCGTCATTCATCAATGGGCCTTGTCCTCCTCTATCCACTTCCGCCAGTCCTCCCTGTCCAGTGCAGCAGCCTTCCACTTCCAGGCATTTAACAGATTTCTGGAGTTGTTTTGTAGTTGATCTGATTAGTTTTGCTACAGAAAAATAACAAGCATTTTCTGCCTTTGACCTTAATCATCTCTTTAATTTCTTTTTGTAATTATTGTTGAACCTAAAATCCTAAAATTCTCAACAAGTTCAAATATATTCTCTTTTACATCTATATATATATCTGAGGCTCAAAAGCCTACATTTCTCTTGTTAATTATTCTAAAGGATTCGTCCCAGAATAAATAAAAGATTATTATTACCGAATAGTCATTGTTTTTCCAGCTAACCATATATTTTGTTTTATTTTATCTGTATTTATTTTGTGCCCCAGTTCTTTACGGGTTTTTATTAATATTATCGTATTCAGTTTTTAGTTTCCGTGTCTTCGCATAACAGTATTAAATCATCTGCATAATCAAACATGGATATTGTCCCACCCAGATTCAAACCTTTTCTGGTATGTATCACTTATCCAATGGCATTTTTTTGTGTTAAATTAGACAGACAGGTGAAAGGGAATCACCTTGTTTTAAACCAGAATGAATCTCAAACTTTTTGAATAAATAATTACCATTTCTAACTTGTTTGAATGTTTTTGACGTGCATATCCTTATAGATTTACTATCTTTTTTTTTCATTTTCCTGCTCTATTAGAATATAATATAGCTTCTGGCCATCAATGGAATCATAAAACTTTTTACTTTCACTTACATATATACGTAATATATAGTAAGGGAAAGTATTGCGATCGTGAAAATTTTCGAATCTAAGTTTTCAACGAAAAACATGTTTTTGAGGTCTCCTGAGTCCAAATAACCAAGTCCCCAAAATGGTTTGTGCGTATGTGAACAGTCTAGCTCAAAAACAAAAGGTTATACGAAACTGATATTACGCATTTAAGATAAGTATATGACTAAGATGTTACTGCAACTTTTTCCTTAAAATTGGCTAACCAGAAGTACAACTTTATATCAACGGTGAAACACATTTTTACAATTTTGTCAAAAACGTCTCACTCGATTTTTATTAAACTCGGTGTATCATTGTATAATTAAGTGGTCTTTAATATCATTTAGGTCTTATCCCCATTGATGTCACTTTACAGGGCTTAAATGCCCAATGTTCATATTCGTCTTCTTCTAAAGTACCTTTAATATGATTTATTTAAAAAAATGAACTCTTTTATTGACAGTAACTATAAAAAATGACTAAATATGAAGTTTGAAAGAATATGATAATTGCAAACTGGATAAAAAAAAAAAAATGCTTATCGAGGTTGAAAATGAATCTCCGGAAATAACAGGCAGAAGCTATACGTATACATCCTTTGAAATGTGGAGAATTTTAGAAAAAATAATATCAAATTAATAAAGTTGTAGTAGGTAACTGAGAGTGATGAATAAAATATAAAGAATAATTTCAGAAAACTAACATAATTTAACGTAAATCACATGTTTCCAAGGAAATTAAATGAAATTTTCTTACTAAAGTAAACTTTAAAATTTTTTTTTAAGTTTAAAAAAAAGTATTTAAAATCAAGCCAATGCCATTGTTTAAAATACTATTCTATCATTGTACTTGTGTGGAAATATAAAAATATTTCATGGATATGTTAATAACCTTAAATACATTTACTGTAGTTTAATAACTCTATATCACATATTATATTTAAATAAATAGGTATCTATCGGCCGTTTATTCCAAGAAAAATCATCATGTAACCTTTTAGACAATTAAAATACTGAATAATTAGATGAATTTTCACTTTGTGATATCCCAAAAGTATACTTACAATTAGTATGATGGGTGATAATTATTTAGGACGCAGTCTTTTTTTAAAAGAAATTTTAATTTCTTATTTATGCCAACGTTTAGATTAATTACAAATAGTATGATAACCTATCTATGACAGACAGTGCAAACCTCATAATTCCATGTTAGTAAATTTGCAATGGAAAATAACAGTTTAATAACTGATAGTACTACAATCCATAATCATATATAGGTTAAATATTCATATGTACTTTCAAATCCCTCTAGGAGGCATATATGAGCCTTTTGTTTGACAGAATGACTAACTCCAATATCAACATTTTTTATTAGTAATTTTAGTGATGTTTCTAGTGGAAAAATTTATACTTTTATTCACAGTTCTATATTTCAACACTGCAACCACCTACTGTGGAATAAACTTACTCACTGTCTGTATAGATATAACTTTTCCAACTAGAGATATCATCTCATCACATCACTAAAATGGCATTACTCAAAAATGTTGAAATTGGAGTTAGTCATTCTGAAAACTGAAAGGCTAAGAGACTGAAGTTATCTGGTTTATAAAAGCAGATGGAGTAACTAGATTTTTATTGCCTTTTGTCGATATAATAAAAAGACTTTTTGTAATTTTAATGGTCTTAAATATTTGTTATCTGTAAGCTTTAAGCTTTAGCTCCGTTTAAAATGCACTTCAAAATTTTTATAATAGCCCAACATTACCAGAAAATAATTTCTATTCAAAGTAGAGCCGATAAGTGAAAGTTGTGTCTTGCACGCACCAGATTTTTTAAATTGATATGAAGCTGATGAACAACACTGTTGTACTCTCATTGTTTCTCTAATATATGCTATAAAGAAAATATTTGATTATTTGAGGAGTTGGTCAGGAATTGGGGTTAAATAAATACTATATTATTAAAATACTATTTTATCAATAAATATTGTACTATTTTAATAATATAGTATTTATTGGATCGCACCCCCGACCAACTCCTTCTCATATTGTAATCACGGTCAACCATTCTACGCCATGTTTGATTATTATTTAAACAGTTCTGTCTAAATTCACATTAGTAGTCTGCAATAATTTCCTCTGTGTATTATGTGATTCTACTATTGAGGATTCATGTAAATATTTTATAGCATACCAGAGAGAGTAAGATTCCTTGATAGTTATTACAATCCATCCTCCCGCCTTTTTTTGTAAATCGGAATAATACATTCTTCAGGCGATTTCTCACTCTTCCAGATGTTTTTAACCAACATATGTATGTTACAAACTACAGCTTCCTCGCTCCTTAATTAGTTCACGAGAAATATTATTGGTTCCCGCTGCTTATAAGATAAGATACTTAGATGCTTATAAGATTTTAATTTACCAATAACTATTTAAACTTCCTCTTAATTCAGTTCTTCGTTAATGGTTTAGCATTCTGTTACTGATGTGAATTTGGTGATGTCCAAGTATGTTCATGAATATCCTTTTGTTTAAACCTAATACTTTTAGTTATTAGGTTTTTCGAGATGGCTAAGTTTATTAGCCAGATTTCATTATCATTACAATAGTTGGTTGGCAGACTTTCTTTACTGGTCATAAGAAAATAAACTTCTTTCCTTCCCACCTTTGTGTTCATATCTCCTAAAATTATTTTCATGCAGCTTTGCTATAGTTTTATCTTAAATATCCTCAAATTTTTCATAAAATTCTGATTTGACTTCATCATCACTGTCTTTGGTCAGACAATATATGTTTATTAATGCAATTTTAAGCCAACATTCCAGAAATATGGCCGTCATAATCCTATCACTAAAAAATTGTATATCCCTCAAAGTGAATAGCCAAAACAAAACATTAGACACATAAAAAACATAATTTTTAAAAAGTTTTTTTAAAAATATATATGAAAATAGAATACTATTCAATGTTAGAAATTATTTAATTAAATATAAAATGTTTTGTTTTATTTCTTCATCCAAATCTCCATAAAAAATCTTTTCTTCTCAATTTGCCATAACATCATTCATCCTGCAATTTAACAAATCATTTATATTGTGATGTAATAATTCAAAATAAACTTTTGTAATTTTTTTTTCCTATTTCATTTAAAAATCTTTATTGGCCAATATTTATTTAGTCACTGAAAAGTACAATGAACACCAGACATAAAATAAAAAACTTTTAATTTAATTTTTTCCATTTCAATCAACAAACCATAATTCTTCTTCATTTCTTTTTGAATAAATTCTACCTGTCTCAATAGTAATTTGTTCGCTTCTCGTTATGATTGTAATTCCTTTCTTAACATTTCATTTCCTTTTCTTTTATCTTCATAAAATACAGTTCATCCTTTAAAAAAGGTTTTCACTAACAAAACACAGTCATTAAACAACTTTACTAAGAAAATTAGACAATTTTTTATAGCATAGGGTACGAAGAACGTCTGATCTCTACCAACTCACATTACAGACTGTCTTATAATAGTATATATTTCCTTTTATTTCTGTAAATTTTTTGTTATTAATTGAAATAATTTTGAAATTTCAGGGCCATGGTGAATATACTGAAATAGATGAAAAAGATTTTTTTGCTGCTTGTAAAAAGTCACCGGAAATAATAATACATTTTTATAAAAGAGATGCACCTCGATGCAAAATATTTGATCATCACCTGAAAATTATCGCTTCTAAACATCTTGAAGCTAGATTCCTGAAAATTAATGCTGAAAATGCTCCGTTTTTAGCTGGTATATCATATGTTTTTGAAAATGCAAAATTAGAGATAGTTGTTGGTTTAGATTTTTGATTATTCACTATAAAATTTTATTTTTTAATATATCTTCTAGGAAATCAAAGAACCTTATTCTATTCAAATTGTAAATCTCCTTGAAAAAACACTTTGCCAAAACTCATACTCATGGCAAAGATGGTAGATATATCATTAAGCTCCCTACGAAACCTGAAAATGAAACTCTTCCTTCAAATAGAAATAAGAATAGAAAAATCGTCTTTATCCTGGGACAAAGTCCCTTAAGAATATCAATATTGTTCATACAAATAATCAATAAATCTGACCAAAAGACCTATTACTTTAAAAAGTAACTAAAACATAAATAATGAGACAAGTCTATACATAGTTCTGTAGATCTATTATCGAAAGCAGATGAGCATCAGGGTCATAATACTGCAACATAGCTTTTAAAAATAATAAAATTAAAATAACTAAATTATATTAGACAGGAAACTTAAGTAAATTTTATAGGCAAACCATTGTAGTGATATAAAAAAAACAAAAAAACAACTAACTGAAGTAAACAATTATTTACATATGTTTCTTAAACTGTTTAAATGAAGATTCATAATGATATTGTAAAAATATAAAAAACTACTGTACTCTACATATTAAGACATAGATTGATAGTAAAAGGAAAGTTAAATTTGGGAATCATTGGCATAGAGGTGTTGGGAACAGTGAAGGATTGAATTATAAAAGTCATTGATATAGGATCTAAAATGAAGAGGAGATATGCTGGAGCCCTGGGCCACTCCTGACGACGGCATACGATTGGAAGACAAAGGTTGATTAGGAATAGCTACTGCTTGGGTACATCAAGAGAGAAAAGATTGAAACCAAAGGATAGAACTATTAGAAAAGGACAATGATTTTAATTTGCAAAAAAGGATGGAATGGTTGATGGTATCAAAGCCTTTGGAAAAGTCAAGGAGTACAAGGACAGTTAGTTTTTTTGTCATCCATAGCGCACTGAACATCACTAATGATTTTGATTAGGATGGATTGTGTGGAGTAGCTGGGATGGAAACCAGATTGGTTGGGATCAAGTTGGTTGGACTGTTCGAGGAAATTAGAAACTTGGGATTGCACTATTCTTTCCAGGAGTTTTGAAAGGTTAGAGAGGATTGAGGTTGAACGGAAATCTAAAGGGGTAGTAGGATTAGAATTTTTATTTAAAGGACGGATGATGGCTTTCTTCCAAGGGATAAAAAATTCTGAGTTCTGAAGGGAGAAATTGTAAATTAAAAGGAGAACGTGAATTTCAGGAAGGCATAATTTGATTAGTCAGAAATGCCATCTGGACTAATGGAATTATAATGTAATTTCACAGTGGATCTGAGGACTGTGGGCGAAATATCTGAAAAATAGAAGTCGCCTTCATTAAACGATGTTCCAGGAAAAAAAATGGAAGAGGAGGCAGATATAAAATATGAATTTTATATTTTGATGGAGGTGATCCAAAAGATTCATAGAGGGAGAGTTTACGGAGGAGTAGCCTTTTGGATTTTGAATCAGGAGCTGATTAGAGAGCTTCATGGAAATAAGTGGATTTCGTACCATAAACCCTTGAAAGTCTTCAACAAGCCTAGTATGTCTAGAGCGTCTACAGGCAGAGTCAAGTCTCTTCTGAAGATCCTTAATTTGCTGATGGGAGCAGGAACAGCAATGAAAGGTAGAGGTTTTGAGGGGGACATGGGCATCAAGGATATTAAGGAGGTTAGAGGTGAGGAGGAATATATTCCATTCCAATCTAGGATTTCCAGGTTGGGTAAGATTTTTTCTCAAGTAAAGCCATCAAGATTGCGGAAAGTTGTGGTTCTAGGAAGGATCAGAGGAGTTTGGATATTAAATGATATTTGGATTAGGCCATGAAAGAATAAAAAGGAAACAGGTTCCGAGCGGAGTTGATAATATAAATTTTCACAATTTTCACCAAATGTCCGATGACAGACGGCGGCCATGGTTCGTCTTTTCTGGTTGTGCACAGCTTCACCGTGTCCAGATCCTCAGAGCTTGAGGATCTCGAGAGATCTATTTAGCTGGCTCTGTTTGGCTTTAGTTAGTTGTACTTCTAGTTTCCCCACTCAAATGTTTTGTTTGGCCGCTAAACTTCTTCTTTCTCTCCCACCCATTCGCCTCTCAGCGTGGGGGTGCTTCCAGCCATCGGTTCCATGCATCCCTGTTCCCGGCAAGGTTCCTCATCTCTTCTAGGTTCTTCCTTCTTCGTATTCCAATTTGTTCCAAATGACTAACGTATGAGGTTCTTGGTCGCCCTCTCGGTCTTCTCCCCATCGGCCTCACCTCTAGGGTTTTAACTGGGTCTCTGTGGTGGTCCATCCGGCAGACATGTCCGTACCACTTCAGCTGTCTCCTCTCCAGAATTTCTAGCACGGGCCGTATCTTTAGCTTCTCTCTGATCTTGTCATTTCGAACAGTCTCTCCGCATTTTCCCCACAATTCTTCTAAGAAACTACATCTCAGTGACAGTAACACAGCTTTGTAGCCTCTCATTCAGGATCCAATTCTCTGCTCCATAAAGAAGTACCGGTAGAAAGACAGACTTGAACAGATGGAGCTTCACATCCTGCCCCACTTCCTTATTTCCTATTACGATATTGCATATTGTATAGTAGACCGAATTTGCTTTTGATATCCTGCTTGAGATTTCCGAATCTACTTTTCCCAACCTATAGATTACCGTACCCAGATAGGTGAAGTCTGTCACCACCTCCATCACCCCTTCATTATAGACAATCCGGATATCCTCTCGAGTTCTGCCGACTTGAAGAATTTTGCTTTTTTTGGGAATTGATGGTCATTCCCTTCCTTTTCAATTCTTCATTCCACTCTCCTACTGCCTGCTGAAGTCGCTCGGGGGAATCTGCAATTATAACGATGTCATCTGCAAATAGGAGAAACTGTACAACTACAGCTAGCAAGTTCCAATAGTCCATGTGCATTCGTGCTGTGCGCCTTTTGCAGATGGAGGCGATCTCATCCATATGAACAATGAAGAGAAGGGGGCTTAGGGAATCCCCTTGTTTTACTCCTTTTTCGAGACTAAATATTCCTGACTCTTTTCCATTCCGGCGTGCAACCCCTTTCGGCTCTTGATATATTGATTTTATAGCCTTTAAAAGCTTTATTAGGATGTTTTTTGCCTTCAAGGATTCCCAAATTTCATTCCGGGGAACCGAATCGAATGATGCCTTCAAGTCTAAGAAGGCGAGATAAATATTTCGGTCTCTGTCCCAAGACTTCTCTATCATATTTCTCAAAGTAAAGATGTGATCATTTGTTTGCCTGTCAGGGCTTAAAAGCACTTTGCTCTTCCAGAAGATCAGGTTCCACCAGTGGTCTTAATCGGTTCTCTAGGATGGAGGTATATAGTTTATAGAGGACTGGAGACAGGCAGATAGGTCTGTAGTTAGAGCAATCACTTTGGCTTCCTTTCTTAGATAGAAAGATAGAAAAAAAAAACTTTATTCTGGGACTAAGTCCCTTCAGAATAACAATAATGAACAAAATAATAGAATATTACTGGCCTGAACGTTGAAACAATAAATAAAATTGATAGAATAAAATAAAAAGTAAAGAAAACCTTAGGTGCACAGTTCTTATGTATGGGTATTCTTATAACATTGAATTCCCATTCCTTAGGGACTCTTTCCTTGTCCCAAACTCTTTGGAAGAAGTTTTGAAGAGTTCCTACCAACTCTGGTCCACCATATGTAATAAATTCTGGGACTATGTTGTCTCGGCCTGCTGCTATTCCTGTCTTCATCTTCGCAATAGCCTTCCCAACCTCCTCTTCTTCTATCTGATCATTCCCTTGGTCCTCTGGAAAGATTCTTCTTTCTACAAGAACATCGCTTGCTTCCTGGTTCCCTTCAAACTGTCTTGAGTAATACCTACGCCATTCCTCCAGCACTTCTTTTTCCTCTGACACTAACTCTCCCCTCTCATTCTTTATATTCCTAACTGGTTTTGCTTTTCTACCTCTCAGAGCCTTGATTTTTCGCCAGAAGAGTTTAATATTCTCTCTATGATCAATATCAAGAGAGCGACCACTCTTCCCATGCTTTCCTCTTTGCTTCTCTTACAGCAACTTTTATTTTGTTCCTAGCAACTTTGTAGAGTTTATATTTGTCTCGACTTCTTTCCATACAGAACATTTTCCACAAGATCTTCTTTTCCTTTACAACAGCTCTAAGTTCTTCACTCCACCAATCCGAACGTTTTCTTTTGTCTGACACTTTCTTCACACCGCATACTTTAGTCACTGATTCCAATATGGCTGCTTTCAGCTTCAGCCATAGTTCATCTAAGCCTTCATCAAAGTTTAGTTCATGCAGCCGATTCATTAGCTTGTTCTCATAATCCATTCGTTTCTGAATATCCTGCTGCTGTTTTATTTCAATCTTTTTCGTAGAAGGAATTCTGCTATCTGCGATCAACAACATGTGGTCACTCCCGATCTCCGCACCTCGGATGACTTTAATGTCTGTAAAGAATCTTCTGATTTCTTTGGTATACAGAAAGTAGTCAATCACACGGTTAACGTTTCCTTCCCGTTCTGAAAAGGCTATCTTATAAACCACTTTATGCGGATAAAAGGAATTGCCTATGAAAAGATCATTGTCTATCCAAAATTCTATTAGTCGCCTTCCATTGTTGTTCATCATTCTTTCACCTTCATGTGGGCCCATACATCCGTGGGCTCTTCTGTGGTCACATCCAGTCCTTGCACTGACATCTCCCATAATAATAACATTTCTACTTTGACTTTTTTCAATTATGCGTGCTAGGTCACTGTAGAATTGTTCTACTTCCATCACTCTAGAGTCCTCAGTTGGTGCATAGACTTGGGCTAGTGTTACTCTTCCCAATGAGAGAATTAGATTGGCACATATTATTCTGGAGTTTACCCTTTCCCAATCCTGAACTTTCCGA